ATATGTATATATATATATATATATTCATATATATATATATATATATATATATATATATATATATATATATATATTTATATGAATGTATGTATCTGTGTGTTATGATTTGTTTGTTTATTTACTTGTTTAGATTATTATTAACAACACTTCTAAATGTTGTAGCTATAATTAGTAATAAATAAATAAATAATTGGTAACATTAGTTTTTGGTTTTTTAATTATTTAATTATTCTACGTGCGTGAAATAAATACATACGTATTTGTCCTATACACACACCCACATGTATATAAACATACGTATGTGTATACATCTTTCGTTTATGTATAAAACATGTATAAGCAACATGCGGCGTGTTAGTTGGTGGAATCATCGTGGCCGCATTGAACATCTACGTCAAAACATCGTTGAACATCCAACACCTCTCTCTTTTGTTGCTGCATCTGTCTTCTTTCAAATTGTTTACAGTCAGTCAGGATTTTTTTTCCTAGTGATTTTGATCGTTTATTTGTCTACTTAATAGGATTCTTGTGATTCTGATTCTTGTGATTCTTTATTTTTTCCGAGAAGTAATTGTTCAACATCTCTCGGATTGCTTTTGACCAGACCAACTATAGTTCTTACCTTTGTTCATATTTTTCAATTTTATGTTTCTAACATTTTCTCACCAAAGTTCATCCTTTATTCAATTTGTTTTCTGATGACTGATCTTCATCAGCATCTTATTCCCTAATTGTAAACTATTTTAAGATCAGATGTCTTCACTGGCAGCTCTACATTTCTGAGCCGAGGTTATAAGAGTTTCGCCTGTTTATGTAAACACATGCTGAGTGGGATTCTTCTGATTTTGTTGTTAATTTTTGTTGATCCATTTGGTTCATTAGATCATTACAGCGGCCAGATAATGAAATACGAATTTTCATACATGTGATTTTTATGGGCTGTCAACTCTTCAAAACGTTTAGTAAGTGGTGATAAATTACTCTTGTGGATTAAATATGATTAAAAGGCACACTCATCTATTTTAATCACTCTTTATAGACTCACTTCAATATTTTTTCACTGATATCATGAAAAAAGTTAAATCTGCATTCCTATATTATTTTTTAAGTAAGGAATCAACCAGTTCCATGAAATGTAACAGAAAGGGAACAAGCCGCCCGCCAATTCAGCGCAAATTCTCTTCAAGACGACATAACTGGTTACCCATCTTTAAAAGAGCTTATTGTGTTCGGCGAACGGATAAATGAGAGAATAATTTGAAAATATGAAAGTTCATTTTTGACATTGTCATAGGATAAAGGTTGTCTAAAAATGTATTTCATTTTGAGTATTATAAACACTCGATATGTTTACTTCTTTTTGTCAGTTGTTGTTATTTATGTCAATGAATAATAATGCACATAAATAATCATTGTCGTGTCTGTAAGATTATCATGAAATTTTATAATATTATCAAAATGTTTTATATTATCGGTATTCTTATTTATTTAAATATGCAGTTAAAAAGTTTTTGGTACACAATTTGATAGACATCATTATTATAATTCACTTCTGCATCAAACGACGATTCTGCAGAGGTATCTTTATAAGTTTTGTATCAGTTATATGTGATTAGTTACAGATGCGAATGTAACCTGCCAATGTTTTATTAATAACAAATGCTGAAAATGTATCACCATTCATCGGGTGAGTATATATAGTAGTTTCTACTTCTTTGTTTTAGTATAACTCATACAATGTGACTTGCTACAGTCAGTTTCGTGATTATATTTATTTCAAGTTCATATTTCTGTTAGATGTGGCTTTGTAGTTGTTTGGCTATCATATGCGTTTGCATACGATAACGCTCTCTTACGCAGTTGTTGAAAATATTTAAAAAAAATTGAATTTTTTTATTAAATGTTTATAAATTTTAACGAAATTAAGACGCATTTTACACGAATTTATTTGTTCTTCAATATATTTGGAGTTTTTTGTTGTGTGGATGAATTCAGAGGTCTACGTTTGTTTAAAAATTCCTAATTTTTTCTGAATAGGATTTTTAAAAAATTCTGCCAAGTTGGAATTTGAACGTCAAAAATTAGAAAAATTAGTAGGTTTCGGAATTCCGCGAAAACATGCCTTATGAGTATGGCATTTTTACCTGTCGGAATAAAATCGGAATACTTTAGAATCGATTTTATTTAGGTGGTTGTTTGGTAATTTTCGATCACTTTCGGCCTTTTAAATAATATTATAAATGGATATATTTTTTAAAATGAATATATTTAATATTCAACTTTTCTTTGCAGTATATTTCTACCGCTATTAATATTAAGGTTATTATTTATTGAAATTCAGAAAAACGTGATTATTGTAGGTTCGACGTAATAATTTAATATTATTCTTAAACGTGGTCAGAATTCTATAACGCCGATATTCTGTCTGGTCTGAAAGCTTAAAATTCCTAAAAGTAATCTTTCGCAATCTGAACTTGAACATATTTGATCGTAGTTTCTTTAGATTAATTCCGATATGATGTGTTGGAATAATTTTTTCAAATAATTTGATTCCGGCCATATATATAGAATATATTCTATATATATGATTCCGGCATACGGTATTCGGAATTATCGATTAATCGCGATGCGCTCAAAATCAGACGGAACTCAGACCCTTAGTGGAAATGGCGTATTTTCATTATTGTTGTTATTATTATTTTAACTTATTAATCTTGTTGTCATTATTGTTATTCCATTGTTTATAGGTTATCTTTTTCACTTATTTTTTTCTACATTGAAAAGCATATTAAACGTTAATTTTGTATTTAAAAGCTGATTGAATTTACTGGTTTGTTAACGAACTTCTATTTTAAACATGGTCAGGTCATCCCATTGACTTGACAGAGGTAGCTACAAATTATGCTAGATTGAATTTATACAAACATTTAACAAATTTATTGTTATTTAATAATTTGCAATTCTTATAAAATCCAAAATGCTATTACTATTCATTTAGTAAGTAACATAGGAAGATATTTGTTTTTAGGTTTTAAAACAGGTGCATGACTTCTTTACTTTTCATTCTGAAAACGAGCGGCGGTTACATTAATTTACAGGCATTTGCAGATCACTTTTTTTCTTCGGAACATTTAAAGCAGTTAGTTACTTGCGTGTTTTAATATGCGCAGTAACAAACAAAACAATGCAAAACTTCAGTGCTTCCCCGTTGTGAGGAGTATTTGTAATAAGTCGGTAAAAGTCATTGTTTTAACGAAAGAAGAAACGTTTTATGCGGAAAATCGACCAAAAATGAACGTGACAAGCAAAAGCAGGGTCGTTGGTCACACTTCTACAAATGTTGGACCCTTGTCATAATATAACCATTTTCAAAACTGTGACCCTCCTTCAAAGTTGTCTAGATTCGCCTCAGTTGACGCAAAAGCAAGTCTTTGTGATATATTTTTTAACTAGGAAAGAAGAATTCGAGCAAAACTTTTTGGCTGATTTATAAACATAATACCGTATTCATAAATTGACTTGATTTTAGGTTTTAGTAAATATTGTTGAATGCCTAAACTTTTTAAAAGGTTTACACATTTTTAAATCAACTGAATTAGGCCAATTCTAATGAATGTAAAAAATTGATTTGTGCTATTTGTTACACTAAAGATGTAACAAAATCAACACGATACATTAGTTCGGAAAAAAAGAAACATGTTATTTAGACTGAATTTATTTCAACTGAGTTGATCCTGAGTGCACAATTTTTAATATTTTTGATTGAAAGAATATCATCTGACAATAAAATCAAAATGTGAATGTAGTTTCACTGATGGGTTTTACTAAGCGTATTGCACTTTGTAAAAGTTCCACCCAATTTCACCACTCAAATCGTTCATCGCATACCCATTTAAATGCTTGTTTAATTCACAGATGGATGCGTTCATTTGAAAATTTATTGAATCACACTGGCCTGGTACGCATAGCAACAAACATTTCATTTTGTTATTAACGGTTTTCACTTGATAAACGTAGCCAACCAAACGGAACTTGAAGTAACGTTTCCAAATTTTTGCTGAAAGTATTTTTATTTTATTAAATAATTTTATTAAATTTATAGAAATTTTAAAAATATTTACAGTTAATATTAAGAGCAGCGTAAATCTCCATTTCGCAAACGGTGAGTAAGCCAGGTCCGGTAGATGGTTGCTGAAGTATGACGTATCGATAGGCAGAGATGAGATTGGCGTTGCATTTCAGTTTGTGCCAGGCAGCTGTCACAGATTTGTACTCGTACTGACCGCAGAGAGGGTAGTCTCCTCTGACGATGTTTGACGCTGATCCGAAAGGGAAGTAATCGACTGAAGTGAGCCCAATCAAAAAGTAGTCCATCCGATCGGCTGAAGTTGAAATCACATTCATGCAAACACGACAACTTAAAATCAGTTGACAAATTTTTTAGAAAGCCTAGTTATTAATAATAACATTTTAAAGTTTAAAAATTTCAGTCAGGTGAAAAGAAGTAAAATGATGACGTACTACAACAATATCCTCTCGAGAAAAGATTAGCATAATCAGCATGGTACTGATTGAAGAGGTCGATAACTGCCCAGTTGGGACCACCTGGACCATCGCCTGTACTAAAACAATGTCTATTTTCAAATTCAGGATTTGAATCACCGTCGACAAGTAAGTTGGAACTAGGACTGAAATAATATGGGTAGACCGAACTGTTGATGGTTGGTTTGTTCAGAGCCAAGTTTTGAGCGAGTAGCACATGTCGGACAACGAGCAGATTCAATACTGAAAGTGAAAAAAATTGGTTACATATTTGAATTTTGTAAATCAATCGAAATCTTACCCAAAACAGTTTTCCAGTAAAACTGGATGCAAACTTTTTCTGACATTTTATAAATAGCATAAGTTTTACCGCAAACCACCTTAATATATATATATATATATATATATATATATATACTTAGAATTACTGCATGTCTATCTATCTATATATAAATATATATATATATATATATATATATATATATATATATATATATATATGCAGTAATATAAATAAGAGTGAATGAAAAATAAACTTATGAACAATTACTGCATAAATTATGGTCTTTTGCCAGCATATATATATATATATATATATATATATATATATATATATATATTTATATTTACAATATTCTATAAATTCTACCGAATGTTTGGCGTTAATATGTTTGTAGTTCGTTTTTTCGATTTTTCTCACTAAAGTTTTTTGATGAACGTTTAGTTTATTAAAATTCAAAATAAACTTATTTTTCGAATTCATGCTGCAAATAAGGCCATATTTCGATTCCGAATTACGATGCTCATTTGGACTCAACACACTCAATCACAATTAGCCGTGAAATCCTCGACAGCAACACCAAAGTAATATACCAGAACAGCAACTACACACATCTTAAAATTGCAGAAGCAGTATTAATTGACATCAATAAACCAAAAATAAATATACAACAAAAAATGACAACCTCACTTCCAACCCGGCGCTTAACCAACAACGAAAACAAAGAAGTAATAAAAACTAGCATCGTCAATAGTGACAAAGAAGAATATGATGCTATCGATGAAGAAAAGAAGACCAAAGAAGACCAATAAAGAAACCTGACACCTAATTCGCATCAAAGTTCAATTTTACAACACCAAAATTAATTTTTACAACGTCAAAGTTCATCTTGACAAAGTCAATATTTCCCTATATATACAGCAAGGAGCACTGATGATGATTCATTCGGAATCAAAATATGGCCTTATTTGCAGCATGAATTCGAAAAATAAGTTTATTTTGAATTTTAATAAACTAAACTATCACCAAAAAACTATAACTATCACCAAAAAACTATAGTGAGAAAAATCGAAAAAACGAACTACAAACATATTAACGCCAAACATTCGGTAGAATATTGTAAAAATTATGGTCTATTACCAACATATATATATATATATTTATACATATATATATATATATATATATATATATATATATATATATATATATATATATAAATATCTATATATATG